GGGAGGGCCCTTAGGACACGGGATGTCAGGGCTGGGAGGGCCCTTAGAACCCAGAATGTCAGAGCTGGGAGGGCCCATAGAACATGGAATGTTCTAAGCAAGTGAGGATTCTTTGAATTGACTGTTTTGGTTTTTTGTATTTGTGTCACCAACATTTAGCACCGTGCCCGGGACATAGTAAGCATTTAACGATGGCTTGTTGATTGCTTGGTCAGCTTTAGTCCAGACATGGGTAACTGGAGAGTGTTGACTGTGGCAGACGTGGGGGGGGCATATGATGGACATCTTCAGGTATTTGAGGGGGTTTCCTGTGGCTGTGGGCTTCATGGGCTTCACACTGTTCTGCTTGGGCTCAGGGAGCAGAGACAGGAGCCACTTTGGGGAGCCGGATTCAGGCGAGAGATCAGGGAGAAGCACCCAGCTGTGAGAAGGACCCCCCAGTGGAATGGTGGGATGCCTTAGTAGGTAGTGGCAGTGTCTGTCTAGGCACAGGCTGGCCTCTGGGGCTCCTCTTAATTCGTGGGGCCTTTGATGCTATCCTTAGCACCTGGATTATCAGAACTAGAAAGGCTCTTTGAACCTGGGGCCCAAAGAAAGTTAGAAGTGGCCAAATAGACCGTCTCACTCAGGCATCTGTGCCCGGGCGTGGCATCCTGGCCCTAGTACATAAGGATATGGGGTCCTGCAGTCCGGCCAGGGGTTGTCGAGGCCAACCGATCCTGTCACTGGCCGCTGACTTTCTCCTGCTCTCCTCCTCCCTTGCAGCTGCCGCAGTGGCAACAGGAAAAGCCTGGTGGTGGGGACGCCCTCGCCCACCCTCTCTCGACCTCTGTCCCCGCTCTCCGTGCCCACGGGTGAGTAGGAGTGGTTCTGGAGTGTGAGCTGGAAGGGGCATTGGAACATGAGATGTCAGGCTCAGAACAAAAAACACAGGACCCCCCCAAGCCATCCTCACCCTCTCGTCCCCATCTTGGGGGGTCTCAAGGCCAAGTGGATACCATGAGCATTAGGCAGAAGACATGCCCTCGATGTGTGGGGAGGGATTGGTGTCAGAGCTCCCTGACTCAGTTTCTCTTCCCCCTCTGACTCCTCTCTGTAGCCGGCAGCAGCCCCTTGGACAGTCCCCGGAACTTCTCGGCCAGCACAGCTGTGAACTTCCCCTTTGCACGAAGGTGAGTCTCCCTGCTCTGGTGATGAGGCCCAGCAGAGGGTGGGAGGAAAATGCCATCTTTGGGAGGGGAGGGGGCTTTCTTCACACTCGGGAGCCATCTAGTCCCAACCCACCCATTTTACAGAAGAGAAAACTGAGACCCTGGCGGTGAAATGATTTGTCCAGGGTCACACAGGGAGTTGAAGAGCTGAAGCTGTCCTGCCTCCCTGTCTGGAGCTTTTCTCAGAATACTTCCACCAAATCACCTTCCTCCTGCTCCTTGGGAGCACCCTGGGTCCACACCCAGAGCCGGTGAATCCGCCACTGTTCCCCAGACCCAACTGTAGGTGATGTCGATGTTGAAGGTTTTTCCCACAGCCCCGAGTGCAGATAATTGAGAGGTGGCTGTGCTTGCCTGTCTCGGGGAGGCTGCCAGTTTTGATGCCCCAAACCTTAAACCCTGTCTTTCTTCCTCTATCTCTCCCTGTCCCTGACTCTGTACTCTCTTTTCGTCTGTCCTTCCCCCTCCTTGGCTGATAAACCACCAATCTTCATGCAGTCACGGCCCCCGGACTGACAGGTAATTTTTTCCGGGAATTTGGCACAGGCAGTTTCCTTTGGTGGAGCGGAAGAGGGGTGGGGGATGGCACATGTGTACGGGAACGGCTGGGAACAGGAGATGACTTTTAACGGTGGGGGATGGGGGTGCTGTGGGAGTCACATCTCCAGCATGAAGGGAGTCAGCTGACCCGCCCCCCCCTGAGATCTGAGAGCTGCTTCCAGAACCCTAGAATGTCAGATCCCCTAAGAAATCCCCACGGGGAAGTCTTCCATGAGTCTGTTAGAAGTGTCCTCACCTCTTAGCGCCTCAGAAGAGGCTTCTCAGAGCTGATCATGGGGGGAGGATGAGGGGTGGGGGGGCAGGGGGAGGGGGCTGGGGGACTGGAGCCTCCTGGGCCTGGCTGCTGCTGCCAGGGAGCTGGCTTCTGGGCTCACTGGGGAGCTGAGACCGCCAGCAGCCAGGAAGCAGTCGCACGGCCAAGTGAGACAGATTGGGTTTCGCCGCTGAGGTGCGTGTGGTCTTGGCATTAAGTTCCACAAGCTCCAGGAAGAGAAGAGATCATCAGCGGCAGCAATCTGGGTGAACCTGCTGGAGGAAGTGGGCTGCCATCTGCTCACCAGGCTTGCAGATCTCCTCCAGTTGGGACTGGCCTGGCAGCAGAATGATCCCATTTGGTCCTTCCTGGCTTTTTGTCTCACTTTCCTCCCTCTGCATTTTCCCCTCTCTTTCATCTGCCTATTCCTCAGACCCTCTGGGGTGGGTGGCATTCCCAGAGCTTACAGGGGTCTCACCAGTCCTTTCAGGAAGCCAGCCAGCCCATAAGAGCACAGGGACATGACTGTGATTTTAATCATTAGATTCTTGGATTCCTCCAGTGGACTCAGGATCCCAGGGCTGGGCGGGACCTCAGGGGGCCTCTAGCCAGACCCAGACCTGTATGGTCATCATCCCTTCTGCAGCCCCAACAGGCAATCTGTCCCCAGAACCGGCTCAGATGCTCCCAGGGATGGAGACCTCACCCCTTCCCGAGGCAGCCAGGTCCACTTGTATAGAGCTGTCCTGGTTGAGACGGGTTTTCTTTATCCCGATCTGGAGGGAGCTGAAGTCTGCCTCTCTGGTACCCTTTCCAAGCAGAACCACGCTCATCCCTCTTCCCCTCAACATGCCTTGAAAACACCTATACTGTTGTCCCTTCTCCTCTCCCCCGACTTTGAGCCTTTTCATTTCTCTTTTTTTTCCAAATTTAGTTTTAATTTATTTATTTTTAGTTTTCAACATTCACTTCCACAAGATTTTGAGTTCCAAATTTTTTCCCCTTCTCCTCCCTTCCACCACCTCAAGACAGCATGCATTCTGAATATTCCTTCCCCTAATATCCCCTCCTTTCTACCCCCCCTTCTCTTATCTCCTTCCCCTTCTATTTTCCTGTAGGGCAGGATAGATTTCTATACCCCATTGCCTGTATATCTTATTTCCCAGTTGAGCCTTTTCATTTCTCACCCTCATTTCCTTCAGCTGATCCTGCTATGGTTGGGTTTCCAGGCTCCTCACTGTCCCTCCCGGTCACCCTCCTAGATGGGCTCTAGGTTTTCAGTGTGTCCAAGGAGAAACTGAATGACCACTTGTCCTGGATTTTGTAAAGGGGATTTTGCTTAGGTATGGGTTGGATAAGAAGTCCTCTGAGATCTCTTCCAGTTGTGTGCCTCGGTTCCCCAACTGGACACAGAGCACTCAGTGGGGTCTGAACACACCCCTCCTTCACCGCTGCCCCAGCCCAGCTGCCAGCCTTCCACGAGTTGTTTCTTCTTCCAGGGCTGATGGCCGGAGATGGTCACTTGCTTCTCTCCCTTCCTCTGGCTATGGGACCAACACGCCCAGCTCTACTGTTTCGGTAAGGCCCTCTGGATTCCCTGGCTGGGGGGTGGGAGGGAGCATCAGGAAACCCCCAACACCTCTGCTCCCTTCTCCGAATTTGAGCTGTCTCTCTGTAGACTTTATGAAGCATCTCATTTCCCTGTCTGGCATCTTCTGTGACCCACACATCCACTTGCTGAGGCTGGCCTGTCAGGGACACGAGAAGTGAAAACATCTTAGCCACAGCCACGTAGCAGACAAGTGGTGGAGCCAGAAATGGTTGGACGGATGTGGGCACTGAGGCCCATTCATCGTATGTTAATTGATCTGTCATTTGCTCAGGGCAGGTGAAGACCCAACTTCAACAATTATTAAGCACCTACTATATACTGGGGGAAATGAACTCTCCCTGCCCTCCAGAAGCTTCCATTCTACCGAGGGAGGAAACAGCACATAGACAGACAGCTAGGGCCCAGACCCTGCCTTCACAGGGCTTATAGTCCAGTGGAGTCTAGTTGGAGTAAGATTTGTTAGGAAGTGATTTGCTTAATGGGTTCATGACAGCGGGAGCCTGGAAGGGAAGTTTCCCCCAACTGTGCCATCGCCACCAGGCCCTGTCTGACCTCAAGGTTGGGCTCCTGGCCCCAGGGCCCGGTGGCAGGTGAGCCTGAGGCCCACAGCTTTTCTCTCTCCTCCCGCTCAAGTCCTCCTCATCCTCCCGAGAACGGTTGCACCAGCTACCATACCAGCCAACGCCAGATGAGCTCCACTTTCTTTCCAAGCACTTTCGCAGCTCGGAGAGCATTGTGGATGAGGATGGGGGCCGCCGCTCACCCTGCATGCGGCCTCGCTCCCGCAGCCTCAGGTAACGGGTTCTGGGGCCGCTGTCATTCGGTGTCTTGAGCCCTCCCCGAGCTGTGGCCGCAGGGCCTCGTCTGTGTCTCAGCTGCCCAGAGATCTGAGCCCTGGTGGGGCAGGACTTTAGTTTCTTCATGGACCAGTGAAATTTACTGTGAGCCCAAATCCTGGGGTAGATATAGGGTGGGGAGGGACCATTGGTGGGAGGCAGCAGTCTTCTGCCCAGCCCCTCATTGCTTGACCTCATTTAGATCAAGAGAGACCTAGTGCATGAGCTGGTGTTATTGCCCCTCTTCTAGCCCCGGGCGAACCTCAGGAGCCTTTGACAGTGACATTGTCATGATGAATCATGTCTACAAGGAGCGATTCCCCAAGGTTAGACTCGCCGGTGGGAGAGGGCTGCTTGCCAGGTGAATCCTGGGTGGACGTGGGGGAGGTGGCTGATGTTCTGCCTGGCCCCTGAGAGCAGAACAAGGAGCAGAGTGTGGGGGAGACAGAGGCAGAGAGTGCAGCTTGATATTACGGGAAAACTTCCTAATGATTGTAATCATCCAGAAGTGGAACCAGCAACTTTGAAAGGCAGTGAGCGTCTCACTGACAATCTCCGAGGAGAAGCTGGAGGACTCCTTGTCTGGGATGTTGTCGGGGAGATACTTGCTCAGGAATGAGGGGGGTGACATGTCCTTCATAGACACTTCTGGATCTGATGTTCTGTGGTTCATGGAACATTCCCTTCCTACCCTGGGTCATGGGGTAAAGCCAGGACTGCAGGTGGTTATAACAGCGCTTGGGGCAAATTCAGTTAAGGAGTGGAGGCATGGTTATCCTGGGAGCTGGGAGGCACCCTGTCCCCCAGACTGTGGTCTCCATGAGGGTTGGGAGGAAGGTAGGCCCTAGGTGGAGAAGCCAGAGGAAGGTGGCGGGCCACAAGGTATGGGAATGGAAATTAGAATGGAATGGAAGGCGCCCCCCCCACCCCCCCAGTATCAGCACCCTGGGGCAGACCCCCATTTGTCCCACATTGGTTATGGCTCTGCAGTGAGTCTCTGTGCCTTAATGAGCTGGAGGAGGCAGTACCATTAGGATCCTTTTCTATGATCACTACAGGAGTTCAAACATCCTGTTTTCTCTAATGGTATTTCACATGTACGTTACTGTGTGTAATGGGGTTTCTTAGCCTTTTTTTATGTCATAGACTCCTTGTCAGAATCATGTTGATAAAGGCATAAAATATATTACATAGGTTTACAAAGGAAACTAATACTTTTGAAATCCAGCTATCAAAATGTTTTTTTAAAAAATACTGTTCCTAGCCCCCTTGGGGGTCTATGGGCCCTGGGTTAAGAAGCCTGTTCCACATGCACCATGCCCTTTGTCCCTCACAACGCCCCAGTGAGGTAGGAAGTGTGAGTGTTGACATTCCCGTTTTAGAGAATGTGAGAGGAGGAAGCTGAAAGGCACTCCATCTAATGTACATTTATTACGTATTGTGCATTATACGTCCTCAGTGCTGAGGGCAATACAAAATTGAATAAGACAGCATCTCCCTGTCTGCTGTGGAACGGAAGAGCTTAACACACACAGGGGGAGAGGAAATGATTTGCCAAAGTTTACACGGATTGTCAATGACGAAGTTGGTAGATGTGATCTCTAGGACCATTGAGCCCAGCCCCTTTATTTTACAAAGAGGAAACTGAGGCCCAGCAGGGAAGTTGCTTTGCCCAGGTAACCCGGCAGAGATGAGGCAGAACCAGGGCTCCCCTGTAAAGCCTACCGTCTACCCCCTTCTTCCTGCGGCCTACGTCCCCCTTCCTCATCCTCCGCTCCCCGCCCAGGCCACTGCCCAGATGGAGGAGCGCCTGCAGGACATCATCACCACCTTCTCTCCCTCCAACACCCTGGCCCTGGCTGACGGCGTCCTGAGCTTCATTCACCACCAGATAGTGGAGCTGGCTCGGGACTGCTTGGCGAAGGCTCGGGAGGACCTGGTCACCTCCCGCTACTTCTTGGAGCTTCAGGAAAAGTTAGAGAAGATGCTGCAGGATGTGAGTGTCTCTCTTCTTTCCCCCTGCTTCCTTCTTCTTCTTCCTTTTTCTCCTCTTCTCCCTTCTTTCCCTTCCTCTTTCCTCCTTCCCCTCCTTCCCTTTTCTCCTCTTCTACATTCTTTCCTTTCCTCTTTCCCTCTTCCTTCTCTTTTCTTCTCTTTTCTCCCCTCCCTTTCCCCTTCCACCTTCCTTTCCTCTTTCTCCTTCCCTCTTCCCCTTCTACCCTTCTCTTTTACCCCTCTTTCTCTTTCTCCTCTCTCTCCCCTCCTTCCTTCCTCCTTTCTCTTTTTCCTCTTCCTCCTTGCTTCTTTTCTCCTGCCCTCCCTTCTCTTCCCTCATTCCCATTCTCTTTTCTTCCTTCTCTGAAAGATCCGGGTCAGGGGAAATGGGCAGGAAAATAGATCCCCGAGAACCTGTCAGAAAAGCCAGCTAGGGGCTGGAGGGAGGTAGGGAATCATCCTTCTATAGAGCAACAATCCCATTTATAGCATGTTTTCTTCAGAACAGCCTTAAGAGATCATCTCCATTTTAGAAATGAAGAAACTTGCAACCCCGAGGGAGGCGAAAGAACATTTTCATGGCTAAAGAACTATGGATCAGGGTTGAGACGAGCCTCAGTCTCCCAGCTTCTAAGCTAAGGGCTTTCCCCCTTCTGCCACACTGTTCCTCCTCAACCGCTACTGGGCAGACCTCGAGCTTTCCATAGCTCCCTAGCAGAGGAGAAGAAAGTAGGTCTGGGGACCTAGTCACTCCAGTGAATATGGTGGCCCCCAGCCTCCTCAGCCCCAAGAGACAATCAAGAAGTCTAACAAGAAGAGATCTGGTGACAGCGCGGGTGGGGAAGCCATCAGTGGATCCAAGAGACCCAGGTCCTGGCTAGGGAAGCCCTGTGTCCTCTCCCAAGTCAGCAAGTGTTGTTATGGGTATCTGCACATATGTATATATTTACATGTGTGTCTATACACGTACGTCCATCCTTTACAGATCTGTTGTGAAGCTTTAGTGTACAGACAGCTACAGGGAAAGCTTGTTAGTCTCTGGTCCAGGTTTGTTGTCCGTGGCCTCCTGGTGCCGTGGAGGGCAAAATGGCTTGTTTGGAGGTAGACACCTTCCCAGTTGGTGATGCTGTTTTCTCCTCTTCTGCGTGACCCCACAGGCCCATGAACGCTCAGAGAGCCAGGAGGTCACCTTCATTGGCCAGCTTGTTCGAAAGCTCTTAATTGTCATCTCACGCCCGGCTCGTCTCTTGGAATGCCTGGTGAGCATGCACTGCCCAGCTTGGATGGGGACGAAGGGAGAGGCCTCTCATTGAGCTGAGCCTTATCAGGCTGCTCAACACTAATGATTTGAAGAGAAGGCTCTCCCATTGGAGCTTCTGTCCCATGACAGCCTGGTGTGGGAGGAATTGTCACCTGCAGATTACATATAAGCTCACGTTGGTAGGTGGGATATCACACATGTTGGACAATAGAATCAGGATGTAAAAAGGCTAGACCAATTTAAGAGTATGAATTTAATAGGTCTCAATGTAAAGTTCTGTACTTGAGTTCCAATCGTCACTAACCCAAATATAAGATATGGGAGGCAAGGCTAGGCAATCAGAGAATCGAGGGGAGGGGGCGTTAGTGGACTTGAAGTTATGTGAAGCACAATAAGATGGTGCTTATTGTTATATGGCAGCCAGAAGGCTATATTTAGAGCCATGATGCCCAGAGCAAGGGAAGTGATAGGCCCTCTGTCTTCTGTCCTGGTCATACCTCATCTAGAAGTCTGGATGGGCCCTTGGGGACTGTTGTAGAAGGGATTCTTGTGCATATATGGGTTGGATTAGGTGATATCTCAGGTCCCCTTTTGATTCTGGAATGGCTGATGCCCCCGGTGTGTCTGGCCTTGTGGTTGGGACAATAGGAGGAGACAGTCCACAAGCATTTATTAAACGCCTCCCGTGTGTCGTGCACTGTGCTGACTGCTGGAAGAGGTGAACCTTCTTACAGTGATGGGACCATGGGCAAGTTCTCAGCATCCCCAGGCTTTACCTCTTTGTGCCTCAGTTTCCTTATCTGTAAAATGAGGGGATTAGAGTATATGACCTTTTAAGACCCCATCTGGTTCTAAGTTTATGATCCTGTGGCCTGGTCCCCGTCTGCCTTCTGGAGCCCAGCTCACCCACAAAGCGTGTCTGATTTGTTGGCCAGCAGACATTATAGACCATCAGGGCTGGAGGAGGGCAGTTTCCCTGTGGCCGAGGTGATTCAGGAGGTCTTCTTGGAGAAGGCGGTACGGGAGCTGGCCTTAAAGGGTGGGAGAAAGGGTTTGGTTCAACAGAGTGGGTGAGGTAGGAACAAGCATGGCGCCTGGCTGGTTGGATGGAGATGGGAGAAGCCTCTCAGCCGCAGCACCATTCGCTCCCGTTGGGTATGTTGTCGGCGTAGGCTGGTGACTTCCCTGGAGTGGGGACTTTTCCTACCCCCTGCATGCATTGGCAGCTCCTCTCCAATAAGTAATCTCAGAGAATTGCTGGGGTGGCGGGTTGAGCAGTCTGCCTATGGTCACACAGCCTGTACGTGTCAGAGGAAGGACCCTGCCTGGGTCCTTCCCCTGGGCTAGAGGCGAGAACCTTCAGATCTGTGCATTATAGAGTACGATGTGCCTAGCTCCGTGCTCATCCCTCCCCGTCCGGCACTGGCCCACTGAGCTTACGCAGTGGTGCTGGAGGTTGAGGCCCCATTCCATCTGTCCTTCCCACCCTGCTTGCCAGGAATTTGATCCTGAAGAGTTCTACCACCTGCTGGAAGCGGCAGAAGGGCATGCCCGAGCGGGTCAAGGCATCAAGACAGACATTCCTCGATACATCATTGGTCAGCTGGGCCTCACCAAGGACCCTCTGGAGGGTAAGTGGAGGGAAACTGAGTCAGCCCTTGCTGAAATCCTGAATGTGCTAAAGTTGGGAGCTAAAAGACTTGGTTCTAGTCTTGGCTTTGCTACTTGTTTGCCTTATGTAAGTCATTTTTCTCTGGTCCTCAGTTTCCCCGTTTGTAAAATGAACAGGTTAAACTCTAGGAATTACTAGTTCCTACTAACTGTGATGTTCTGTAGTCTGTGTCCTAAGAGTCCTCCCAACTCTGACATTCTGGGTTCTAAGGGCCCTCCAAGCTCTGACATTCTGGGTTCTAAGGGTCTCCTCCCGTGTAGACAGTTTTTTCAATAAATTTCTAGGGGGCAACTAGGTGGCGCAGTAGATAGAGCGCAGGCTTTGGAGTCAGGAGGACCTGAGTTCAAATCCAACCTCAGATGCATGATACTCACTAGCTGTGTGACCCTGGGCAAGTCATTTAACCTCTATTGCCTCGCCAAAAAGCAAAAAAAAAAAAATTCTCAGGTAAGAGAGGGACAGAGGTGGAAGAGTCAGGGAAGGGCTTTCTTAGGAGTGTATTTGTAGGCAAAGAGTCGAGAGGCTGTAGAAAGGGAGAGACTGAAGAACCAGAGAGAAGCGAATGCCCACTGGGACATTGTCTTGAAAGAGATGGGAAGAAGGAAGTTGGGATGCAAGGGCCGGTTCTGATGACCGGGAGGCTGTCTCTTCTCTGGTCAGAGGGCAGGTTCAGAGTTCCGTGGGGGTAAGAAGGTTTAGGCATAGAGGATGGAGATTGAGGAAGCTGCCCCCAGGACTGACAGCTTCCGTCCTAGGGAAGCAGGAAATGAATCATCTGCCATAAATGTGGTGAGAGAAGGAAGGATTCTCAGCAGTCAGGATGGGAAACAGGCTAAGGCAGGGGTGGGAAGCCTGTGGCTTCACGGCCACATGTGGCCCTCCCGGTCCTCAAGTGTTTGGATTCAGTCCAGGAGCCCTCCCCCTATCCCAGCCAACTGAATTGGGTTCAGTCACAGGGCCGCACTTGAGGACCGAGAGGGCCATGCATGGCCTCGAGGCTGCTGGTTCGCCACTCCTGGGCTAAGGAGCCAAGAAGGACACCGTAGATGGCTGCTTCAGCATTAGGGTATAGTGCTGGGTTTGGAGTCGGGAAGATCTGAGTTCAGATCCTGACTCAGATGTCGCTGGAGCTGCTCACAGGCTCGGGTCTTCTCTGTGAAATGGAGACGGTGATTGCCCTGGGCCTACCTCCCAGGTTGTTCTGAGACCCAAGCAAGCTGAGCTATGCGTAGCTCTTTGCATCATTTAAAGTGCTATATAATGAATTGTTTCTGTTATTTTTTCAAAAATCCTTTTTGGGGTAAGGACCTTCTACACATGGCTGACAGGCTGCAGGGGAGGCTACAAAGGCAGCTGGTTGAGCCAGCTTCGGCCCTTGGAGTCTGCAGCTCCCCAAATGCGTTGCTGTTTTTCAAGGAAGCTCAGTCCTTGGAAACTGACAGGTGATGGGGGGCGGGAGGAGGAGGGGGAAGAAGCTTCCTGGGTGTATGCCAAGAACCCTGTGCTAAGCAGATGTGGTATGGAGGCGGCTGACTGCTGGGTGCTAGGATACTTGGCTGTTTGGCGTCCTTCCCGAGAGCAGAAGATTTGGGTGATTTAATCCTGAGACTTCTAGGCCTCATGCCACTGAGGACCTACCAGCCAGTTAAGCTGAAGCTGTCTGGAGGGTAATCAGAATCTGGAAAGTCAGGGCTAGGAGGGCCCTTAGAACCCAGGGCGTCAGAGCCGGGAGGGCCCTTAGAACCCAGGGCGTCAGAGCCGGGAGGGCCCTTGGAACCCGGGGCGTCAGAGCCGGGAGGGCCCTTGGAGCCCGGGGCGTCAGGGGCGGGAGGGCCCTTGGAGCACAGGGAGGGCCCTCGGAGCGCAGGGAGGGCCCTCAGAACCCAGGGCGTCAGAGGCGGGAGGGCCCTCGGAACCCGGGGCGTCAGAGGCGGGAGGGCCCTCGGAACCCGGGGCGTCAGAGGCGGGAGGGCCCTCGGAACCCGGGGTGTCAGAGGCTGGAGGGCCCTCGGAACCCGGGGAGTCAGAGGCGGGAGGGCCCTTGGAACCCGGGGCATCAGGGCCGAGAAGGATCTTACAGACTATCTGTTCTAAATCCTTTATTTTGTAGACACAGGACTGTGGAGGGGAAGTTGATAGGCCTGCCTTGGAGTGGTAGGGCTCTCTTTCTACTGAAGTTTTTACACAAAGGGTTATAGGATTTTGAGCTGAAAGGGACCTCAAAGGTCCCCTAGGTCAGTGGTGTCAAACTCAGATAGAAAGGGATCCCTGCTGGCTGCCTATTGACTTAGAAAAGCACAGATTCACATTAGCTATGTTGTACTGTATTTTATTTATTTTGGTAAACATTTCCCAGTTCCATTGTAATCCGGCTCAGGCAGTACTGGAGAATTTTGTGGGCTACTTGTCTCCCATTTAGTCCGGCCCTATCACTTGACATCCAGGGAGGGAGGTCTCAGCTTACCCAGAGTGACATAGATAGTAAGTGAGGCCATCTCTCCTGAAGCCGGCCAGCTTTGTGGAAGAGGCTTCCTTGATCGGGTCTTAGGTGGATGGGATCCTTCCCTTCCCTTCCCACCAGGTCCCAGACTACTTTAGGGTGCTGTGATTCCTGCCTGGCCTAGGGAGGCACTGAGTGAGGGGTAGAGCTGGGACTAGCATATGAGGGCAGCTGCCCCCTTGGGCTCTTCCCAGGCCTGAGCCAACGTTCCCCTGAGCACCCCTGTCTCAGACCGGACCTCCTTCCTTCGTGTGCTGGCTTGGGCTCCTGAGGCCCCAGGCTAACCCTCGCCCTCTCGCCCTGTCTTTGCCTCTCCAGAGATGGTGCAGCTGGATTCTCCGGATGCCGGCTCCTCGACTGCACCTGAGGCCGGAGACCCACCGGAGGTGAGTGTACCAGGCTCTGGGTTCGAGAGCTATTCCTCCCTGGTGGTGAGGCCCAGTAACAAGGGAGAATTGGAGATGGGGGAATGGTGAATGAGTGAGGGATTGGTGAGACATATGTTGTGTCTGGGCATCACCCGTGGCTACTGGCCACTGGTTGGAGGAAGCATCCTGGTGTAAGGGCTGAGGGGCTGGGCTTGGAGTCAGAAACATCTGACATCTCAGCTTGCCGTAGATAGACTTGCTAGCTGTGTGACCCTGGCCAAGGCACTTACCTCTTCTCAGCCTCAGTTCTTCTTCCATAAAGTGGGGATAATAATCGTCCTTACCTCCTAGGTGCAAATGAGGTAATAGATGTAAAGTACTTTGCCAGCCTAGAGTGGCCTTGTCACTGTGAGTGGTCATCATTGTGGTGGAATCTCCCTAGCAGAGGCAGCCGGTGGACAGCAGGGGACTCTCCAGAGATTGCAAAAAGGGGTATTGCCTCTGTGTAAATTATGACCTTTGCCCTGGCACCTGCTTCCTATGGAGGGAGCTCAGTCCTTGTCTAAGCCTCAGTGGGGCCGGGGCCAGGACTCCCCTGGTGTGGTGTGGGGGTAGGGGTGGGCAGCTGGCTGGTTGTAACAGAGGATCACAGTTCCCAGAAAGCCCAGGCTCTGACTGCTTACACTGAGGGGAGAAGTGCCCCATCTTGGGGGAGTGGCTCTTGCTGGAGAATCCAGGAAGGTGGGAGATTGTATGAAATGTGACTTTCCGTGAAAGACTTCAGGAAAAAATGCTGCTTGATTTGTAGCTTTTCAGCTGGGGAAGTGCCAGAGGGGAGGTTCTGGAATCCTAGAGCAAGGACCTGAACAGAAATGAATGGATGGATGGATGGATGGGTGGGTGGGTGGATGGATGGATGAAGGCCCTCTTCTCTTCTCCTTTGCTGATCTCATCAGCTCCCAGGGATTCAATTATTTCTATGCTTATCATACTCACATCTATTTTTCCAGCCCTTTCCTTCCTACAGACGTAATAGGTCCTTAATAAACATCTGACTGAAAAGCATTTATTAAACACTTACTATCAACTAAGTACCGGGTATACAAATAAAAATGGTTGCTGCCTTTAAGGAGTTGATATTCTAATGGAAGAAGACAATACAATAGTGGCGTGGTGGTGGGAAGGGTTGTTTTGGTTTGGAAAGTTACAGGGATGATGAGTGGAGTGGAGGGGAGTTGATTGAGACACTCTTTCCAGGAACAATGGTTCCTTTGTTGCTTTGATTTGATTACTTTGATTTCCCGGAAGGGGTGAGAGGGTGGGGGACAGCCAGGCATGGAGAAGTCTAGGAAGTGGAAGTGAAACATGGCTGCAGTCTAGGGTCCAGATGGAATGGGCAGTGAGGCAACCTCCAGTGGGCCTTGGGGGACATTCCTGCCACGGAGAGGCTTGGAGTATGGGCCAGGCGTCATGGCAGCTAGAGAGGCGTGGGGAGTGAAGGGAAGGAATCCCTTTTCATGGAAGCCCTCACAGAGCAGTTGTGTGGCCTCTGCTTGTATCCTTGAAAGGGCTGGCAGATGTATTTACCCAGCTTTTGTTAGTAATAGGTGAAAGATCGTGCAAAACCGGAGAAGTGTCACAAAATTGGAGAAGCGTAAATGTGGTCCTATTTTTTTGTTTTTTTTTTTAAAGGAAGAGAACGGTCTGTACACTGTAGGTCAGTGAGCTTGACATAAATTCTGGGAAAACTCTAGAATGGATTGTTAAAGAGATGGTTGGTGAAAATCTAGAAAGGGAAGCAGCAATCTCAGAGAAGCAGCATGGTGGCTTCATCCCAAACAGGGCGTGTCTCACTAACCTGGCTTGCTCTCGTGACAGGATTACTAGGAGACGGATGAAATGCCTCAGGGGTTTGTTTGCCTAGATTTCAGTCACGCATTGGCTAAAGTATTTTACGCTCTTCTCGTGGAGAAGATGGAAGGATGTGGACTAGATTGTGATACAAGTAGTTGGATGGGTAATCGGATAATCAGATGATGGATAATCAGAACTTGCTGGATGGCCAGATTCAGCCTCCACATGGGGAGGGATCCGTGCTTGGCGTGCTTATCAGATTTGCAGATAATGAAAAGCTGGAAGGGACAACTAACACATTGGATGATAGGATCCGAGGGGGATCCTTTTGGGTATTGGTTGGTCTGGAATGGCCGCTGAGGTCCCAACTCAAGCTCTTTGACTGCATGACCTTCAGTCACAGGGAACTCGTTACCTCGTAAGGCAGCTTGCTTTCCTTTTCCTTTTCCTGATCTACTTCTTAGAAAATTCCTCCTTAAGTCTGCCTCCCTTTGAGCCCCCAGTATTCCCCGCCCAGGTCATCTATAGGATTTATTGGAACTTTGAAGGCACCTTAGAGATCAGCCGGTCCCATCCTGTCACTTTGCCAGTGAAACAGTTTGCCCAAAGACATTGAGGTTGTGATAGCAGTGACTCAGGTTTGGAACCCCCAAGTCATAAGACCCCCAAATCTAGAGCTGGAAGGGGAGTGAAATGACTGCCCCAAGGTCACGTGGGGGCAGAGCTGAGAGTTGAACTCTGGTCCTCTGATTCTAAAGTTTGTTGGTCTTTTCCCTGAACCAGCTCTGCTCTTCGAGGCAACGTTTTGGACCTTTGAGGAAGGCACAGGATGGCCTCCCTCCCCTTCCACCTCCTGAGGGTTCCTGAGTCCAGGGCGGAGGATTTGGGGGGCTCTCAGGCAGAGGGTGCCTTTCCCCATGTTGCCCCTGGGTGTGGCAGGCACTGGAGGCTAGGAGTCCTAACCAAGTTCTGTCTGGTCTTTTCAGAACCGATCTCTCCCCGTCCCCTCCCGGAGGAAACCCTGCGAGAGTGACTTTGAGACCATCAAGCTGATCAGCAATGGGGCATATGGGTGAGTGGGAGATAGCCTGTGGACACCAATGTCCTTGGCCCTAGAGCTGACAAGTAACTGAATTTATTGGGCTTCTCCTCCTGGGTGGGCCAGAGGGTCTACTGAGGCAAGATGCTGTGGGTTTTATCAGCAGAATGTGAAATGTCAGAGCTGGGAGGGACCTTAGAACACTGAATTTCAGAGCTGAGGGAGACCTTAGAACACAGGATGTCAGAGCTGGGAAGGCCCTTAGAACAGAGAATGACAGGACAGGGAAGGCCCTTAGAACACAGGATGTCAGAGGTGGAAGGGCCCTTAGAACACAGAATGTCAGAGGTGGAAGGGCCCTTAGAACACAGAATGTCAGAGCTAGGAGGGACCTTAGAACACTGAATGTCAGAGCTGAGAGAGACCTTGGAATGCAGGATGTCAGAGCTGGGAGGGCCCTTAGAACAGAGAATGTCAGGACAGGGAAGGCCCTTAGAACACAGGATGTCAGAGGTGGAAGGGCCCTTAGAACACTGAATGTCAGAGCTGGGAGAGACCTTAGAACTCAGGATGTCAGAGGTGGAAGGACCTTTAGAACATGGAATGTCAGAGCTGGGAGGGTCCTGGGGGGGACCTTAAAACACATAATGTTAGAAACCATCGGGCCCTATGAACATAGAACATAGAATGTCACAGTTGGAAAGACCCCTTAGAGTATAGACTGTCAGAGCTGGGAGAGATCTTAGAACGCAGATCATTAGCCGTCATTTTGTTCACCTCTTTTCCCCCACTAGGGCTGTGTACCTGGTCAGGCACCGGGAGACCCGCCAGCGCTTCGCTATCAAAAAGATCAACAAGCAGAACTTAGTGCTCCGGAACCAGATCCAGCAAGTGTTTGTGGAGCGGGACATCCTCACCTTTGCCGAGAACCCCTTTGTCGTCAGCATGTTCTGCTCCTTTGAGACCCGCAGGCACCTCTGCATGGTCATGGAGTATGTGGAAGGTCAGTACTGCGCAGCTGGAGATGCTGCAGGAGCACGTAACCTGGGGGTCAAGCCTCAAAGGTTCCCTTCCCAAGTCCGCTCCAGACTTTCTGTGTAACTAGGTGAATCTCTGGGCCTCAGTTTTCCCATCTGTGATATTAAGGGGTTAGACTGGGTAGTCTCTAAGTGCCCCTCCTAGCTCCAACATTTTGTGTTTTAAGACTCCTTCCAGCTCTGACCTTCCATATTCTAAGGACCTTCCCAGGTCTGACATTTTATCTCAGGGCCCTCCCAGTTGTGACACTGTGTTTTAAAGGTCCTCCCACCTCTGACAATCTGGGTTCTAAGGGCCCTCCTGGCTCTGATGATCTGTGTTCTAAGGGCCTTCCCAGCTCTGACATTCTATGTCCCAAGGGCTCTCCCAGTTCTGATATTCTGTGTTCTATGGGCCCTCCCAGCTCTGACATCCTGGGTTCTAAGGGCCCTTCCAGCTCTGACATTCTGGGTTCTAAGGACCCTCCCAGCTCTGACATCCTGGGTTCTAAGGGCCCTCCCAGCTCTGACATCTTGGGTTCTAAGGGCCCTCCCAGCTCTGACATTCTATGTCCCAAGGGCTCTCCCAGCTAAGGGTCCTCCCAGCTCAGACACCCTGTGTTCTAAGGGCCCTCCCAGCTCTGCCATCCTGTGTTTCAAGCCCCTCAGATGACAGACAGCTCTGCCAAAGGCTTTAGCAGAACAGTCCAAGGGTGGTGAGCTCCCTGTTTCCCTCCCTTGGCTCTGGCTCCTGAGAAGGCTGCAGTGGTCCTGGCTTCCTGCCTCCCTCAGTCACTCTCTGTGGCCAGGTCATTGCTCAGGCCATCCTTCAGCTCATTCACTCATTTGTCAGACCTTTCCTGAGTGAAGCCTGTGGACGGTGCTGAGATGAGGCCATGGAGAGCTTTACTCGTCCTGTTCTCCAGGGTCTGGTTGTCTTGTGGGTTCTTCCCCCTTTTCCCCTTCCCTGTGGAGGCTGGGTCATGCCTCACCCTGCCCTGGTGCCCGTCTTTCTGCAGGTGGGGACTGCGCCACGCTGCTGAAGAATATGGGTCCCCTCCCCGTGGACATGGCCCGGATGTACTTCGCAGAGACTGTCCTGGCTTTGGAGTATCTGCACAACTATGGCATTGTGCACCGGGACCTTAAGCCAGACAAGTAAGAGGAGGCAGAGCCTGGGAGGGAAAGCACTGGAGAGCCAACATTCATTGGTGGGCGAACCCCCACCTGGGACAGGGCCTGAGGATGGGGCGCTCTGCCTGGATCCGAAGTCCCCAGAGTGAGAGAGAGCAACCCTCAGGCTCCTCCGGTCCGACCCCTCGCTTTACAGATGAGGAAACTGAGGTCCACCATAGGGTCACACAGAGAGGAAGAGCAGAATTAGAATCCAAATCCAGGTTCTCAGGCTCCAGCTCCGGTTCACTTTATACTCCTCTGTTTGGGGAGAAGTTTCCTCCTTTGAATCTTTATCATCCTTCGTGGGGGAGCCCAGCTTAGCCCTTCGCTCATCCTGGACCCAGCTCTTAACGTTGACTTGAGGTGTGACCCTGGGTGACTCACTTCCTCTCTAGCCTGTTGAGGTCCCCCTCCGCCCCAGACAGTCCTGGGGCTCTGGGGCCCCAGGTTTTGTGTTTCGTCTCTGCCCCTGCCTCGCTGTTCAGTTCTGAGCCTGTCCCAACCTCCCCCCGCCCAAACTTGCTTCCTCCTCTAGAATGCCGGAGTCTGGGTCTGGATCTGAAGGACCTTTCTTCTTCCCTCTGAATTCCTGGGCTCTCTCTTCCCACTGGATGACTGTGCAGAGGAAGGAGCTCTTGGTGCTCGGCTGCATGTGACGTTTCTCTAATTGTCCACCAGCCCTGGGTTGCACCACCTAAGAGTCTCCATCCTTCCCTGCACTTCTCCTCATCCTTACGCCCCACCTGCTTCTTTCAGGGGCTTGGCGCACATTACAAGGTCTAAATCACACCCGGCAGGGCAGCCAGGGAGGAAGAACACCCTTGCCCAGAGGAATTGAGAAATGGGTGTTCTCGGGCACCTGGGTGCAGTTTCATTTCTGTGGTTGGCCCCGGGGGTCACTAAGAGCTTCCCACCAGAGAAAACAGAAGGGGAAGTAGAGGAGGCCAGCTGTGGTTCTCGGGCCTCCCAGCCCAGAGCGCACCTCCCCAGGCGTGGCTTCAGAGGTGGCTGCTGAATCCTGGGAAGGGGGTTTTATCCTTCACCTTCTTGGGTGAGGTTACACAGGGTCAGCGTCCACTTCTTCGCTCTTCGGTCAGAGACACTGTGGGTGGAAGGTTGGTGGGGAGGCCCGAGCTCCTTCCCAGCTCTGGGTGCAGGTGCCTGGGTTCCTTGTGTTCCAAGGTCTTCATTCTCTGTGCCATCCCCAAAGATAGAACTAGAGGAACAGTGGCCCAGGGGCAGGAGAGCTCTGTTATGTCCTGCTTGGAGCCTTGGGTCCCAGCTTCCCTGGCTCTTTGAGGCCTTGTGTGGCCCCCGACGCTGTCCTTCCTGGCTGAGCCTCTGTGACAGCTGCGCCCCCGTCTGCTCTGTTACAGCCTCTTAATCACGTCCTTGGGCCACATCAAGCTGACCGACTTTGGGCTGTCCAAGATAGGGCTGATGAGCATGACCACAAATCTGTATGAGGGCCACATTGAGAAGGACGCCCGCGAATTTGTGGACAAGCAAGTGAGTGTCTCCTGTTCCCTGTGAGGTTTCGAGAGGAAGGGGCTTAGGATTCCAGGAGGGGGTGGAGTGGGGGTGACCAGCTAGGGCGGGAAGTGAGGCAGACACTTCTTTTCCAAACTTCAAGGCCTAGCTCAGGTGCCCACACCCCGTGAGAAGCTTCTTTCCTGTCCACTGCCCAGCCTGATCCTGTCCAAGCCAGCAAGGGTTTATTAAGCGCCTACTGTGTACGGGACACTTTGCTAGGCACATAAACAAAAAACGGCTTATATCCTGCTGGAGGAATGCCAGACGCATGCACTCAAGTCTAGACAATCTAAGGATTTGTTCTGTAAAATTTGGATTCAGTCAAAAGGCCACACTTAAGGATCTAGAAGGCCAGATGTGGCCTGAAGACCGCAGGTTCCCCACCCTGGGGCCAGATCACAAAAAGGGCCAAGAGGAATGTAGAGCACATTCAGGCTGGGAAGGCAGGTAAGGGCCAGATGGTGACGGCTTTAGGCCCTGAACACGGGGGTTGGGAGTAGATCCTACGGGCAGGAGGGAGCTGCTGAAGGCCACTGATGGAACGTGTGGGGAGAAGAAGAGGGAGGTTTTCCAGTCCGAGTGCCTGGAAAATTGGTGGTGCCATTGGCAGAGAAGTTTGGTGGAGCAGTGGGCATAGCGGGGAAGCCGAGCCAGGATCATATCCTTCAGGGGGCTGCTCACTCATGTACACAGTGCCAGAACTGGGCATGGAACAGGTAGGAAGCCCTCTGCCCCCACTGGCCTGGCCAACCACTCGCTGGTCAGATGAGCTAATAATGATCGCTCTGACAGAGAACTGGATGTCGCCTTAGATACTGCCTAGTCCGGGGCCCTCGTCTTTTCAGGTGAGGAAACTGAGGCAGCAAGTGGCCAGAGCTGGAATTCACGTTCAGGTCCTGCTTGATCGATCAGTTGATTGATTGATCTCCAAGGAGGTTACGTGGTTTGCTAAAAGGGTTAACCTGCCCGAGGATCTGGGGTTTGCAACCTGGCTCTCTCACTGATTCCCTGGGCGTGTGTATCTGTGCCTGTGTGTCTCAGTGTCTGTCTGTATCTGTGTGTCTGTTTGTCTGTCTATCTGTGTGTGTGTCTGTGTGTCTGTTTGTCTCTGTGTGTGTGTGTCTCTGTCTCTGTGTCTGTATCTGTGTGTGTGTCTCTGTCTATATTTGTGTGTCTGGGTGTCTGTGCGTCTCTGTGTGTATGTCTCTGTATTTGTGTGTCTCTGTATCTGTGTGTGTCTCTGTGTCTGTGTATCTGTGTATGTCTGTGTGTATCTGTCTGTCTGTCTATCTGTGTGTGTATGTCTGTGTGTCTGTTTGTCTCTGTGTCTGTGTGTCTCTGTCTGTATCTGTGTGTGTGTGTCTCTGTCTATATTTGTGTGTCTGTGCGTCTTTGTGTGTGTGTCTCTGTATCTGTGTATGAGTGTGTGTATGTCTGTATCTGTGTCTGTGTGTTCTCATCTGTAGAAGGAAATAAATATTGCTTGAGGTTTCTTCTAGCTCTTAATTCTACAACTGGCCAGGAGTGTGCTTTGAGTTAGCCGTTTTTTCCCAGCTTCCCCGCCCTTGTCATCCAGCAGAACGCACCTGGGCCTGTCTCCTGCGGGACCACAGAATCCCTCTGTCTACAGAAGGCATCTCCTAGTGCCTTCCCTTCTGAAGCTATCTTCCTTCTACTCTCTGTATCTAGTATGTGCCTATCACATACGTGTTATTTTCACCCTTAGACTGGGAGGTCCTTGAGGGCAGGGACCAGCTTTTGCCTTTCTTTCTGTCCCCATTGCTTAGTGAAGTGCCCGGCACATAGTAAGTGCTTAATAAGTGCCTGCTAGCTGATTGAACGGCCAAGCGGGAGTATCCGGCCTTGGTCCCTGTGGGTCTCTTGCCACCGAGCCTGCCTGCTGAAGACCAGGCCTCACCTGTGCATCTCTCCTTCCCCAGGTCTGCGGGACCCCCGAGTACATCGCACCTGAAGTGATCTTCCGACAAGGCTACGGGAAGCCAGTGGACTGGTGGGCCATGGGCGTCATCCTCTATGAATTTCTCGTGGGCTGCGTCCCGTTCTTCGGCGACACCCCCGAGGAGCTCTTTGGCCAGGTCATCAGCGGTATGTCTCCCTCTGGGGCTTGGGGCTCAGCCGGGGCTTCCCTGTCAGCCCCCTGAAGGTACATGTGAGAGGCTGTCTGGAGCTATGCAGAGAGCATGGGCCTGGACTTGGGGGGGGCAGTCAGGAGACCTAGGTCTGAGTCATCCTTCTCCCACTGAGTCACCGTGGTGTTCTGACCAGTCTGGCCCCAGGTTCCAGCTGGATAGCCAGGGACAAGGGAGCCTTCCCACTTAAAAACATTTTTTTTCAATTAACAGATTTATTTTCTCCCCCTCCAAGTGGAAAAAAAAGAAAGAAAATCAAAACCCCTATAACAAATATGCGTAGTTAGACAACAAATTACCACATTGGCCATGTCCAAAAGCATATGGCTCATTCTGCAGCCTTGGTCCCCCCACCCATCAGGAGGTGGGCATCCTGTTTGTCATGGGTCAGTGGAAAGAACCCTGGATTTGGGGTCACAGGAACCCAGGTTCCCAACTCAGCCTCTGATGCTGCTTCTCTGTGGGTTACTGGGCAAGGCCCTCTCTAGGCATCAGTGTTCTCATCTGTAAATTGGGTACCTCTGGTGTCCTTTCCAGCTCTAGAACATAATCCATGTGGAAGGGCTGGGGGAGCTATTCCAGGCCTCCTCCCAAGCTGCTCTCTTGGTTTATTCAGAGACCTCCCCACAAAAAAGAGAGAACTTAGCATTGATGGGGTGGGGGAGGGGACCAGTCTGGGACCTCGTGGCTGTGCAGAACACAGCCCATCGGGTCCTCCGGCCCCCGGCTGCGCAGGGTTCTTCTGCTCTTGGACAAGGCTTGGGGACCAGAGGCTCCCTCAGCCGTCGCCACCCCTGCTGTGAGCTGACCCTTCCTTGTTTAGATGACATCATCTGGCCAGATGGAGACGAGGCGCTGCCCACGGATGCTCAGGACCTGATCACAAAGCTGCTGAGGCAGAGTCCCCTGGACCGATTAGGCACTGGTACGTAGCCTGGGTGTGGATCCCTGCTGCTCCCCTCCCCCAACAGCCAGGGTCCCCCGGGGCCACTGGTCTAGCAGTCTGGGCCCCGCCACCAATCCCAGTCATGTTTTCCTGCCGGGCGGGCTGGGATTGAGTTCTGTTTTCCTTCTCACTGAGCGTCCACCCCTAGAGTGCCCTTTATCTCTGTGTGTCCTCCCTGAGGGCTGCCCCCTGCTGAGTTGACTCAGTCTGACCGACTGGTTTTCTCAGATCCTTTTATTTTAAATATTTTTTTTATTTCATTAAATATTTCTCAACTCCATTTAAAAATATTTTAACATTCAGTTTTTAAAATGTTGTTCCAAATTCTCTCCTTCCCACCCACTCTTCCCCCAGCCCTTGAGAAGGCAAGCCGTATGATCTCAATTATTCACATGAAGTCAGATCCCTGCTTACTTAACTTGAAGCCTCCTAATGTGCTCTGCTGGAAACATTAGCCAGCTGGCCCCTCAGTCTCCTCATCTCAACGAGCATTTGTTAGTCCCTGCTGTGTGGCAGGTGCAGACATACAGAGCAAAGAACTAGAGGATTCCTGCCCTCAAGGAGCTTATATTCTCCCTTTGTGCCTTGGTTCTCCCAATATTTCATACCACTGCTCCATCCTGCCTTCCTGACACTGGTCCACCTTGACCTGCCCCTTTCTTCCTGGCCCTGGCCTCCTCCCACTCCACTGTTCTGCTTCATTCCCCTTACCTCCAAGTGGTTTATATAAACACAGAAACCAGTAGCTGGTGGTTGTTTAAAAAAAAAAAAAATTTAAACCTAGAGGTTATGTGCCCAGAAAATCTCACTCCAAAAATCTTTCTAAAAAGTGGTAGCGGCCCACCTGAGCTACAGAGAACGAGGCTAGAAGGGCTCGTGGAGGCAGGGGCCTGGGGGGCAGGAAGGCAGGACTAGAAGCTTGGGGGGGGGCCCCTAGGAGCAGCCCAGTCGGCTCAGGCACAGCCCAACGGCTGCCCCTGCAGGTGGTGCCTACGAGGTAAAGCAGCACCCCTTCTTCCACAACCTCGACTGGACGGGTCTCCTGCGGCAAAAGGCAGAATTCATCCCACAGCTGGAGGCGGAAGATGATACCAGCTACTTTGACAGTGAGTGGGAAGCAGTTCCCTGGAGGTGTGGGGGAGGGTGTGTGCTCCCCTACTCTGGGAATCCAGTACTGTCTGTGTTAGTCAGAAGGCTGAAACAGGTAGGCTCTGAGGGCTCTCCCAGCTCTGACGTTGTGTTCGGGACCCTCCCAGCTCTGTCGTTCCGTGTTCTGAGAGCCCTCTCATCTCTGACATTCTGGATTCTAAGGGCCCTCCCAGCTCTGACCTTCTGTGTTCTAAGGGCCCTCCTGGCTCTGACATGCTGTGTTCCAGGACCCTCCCAGCTGTCATTCCATGTTCTGAGAGCCCTCTCATCTCTGACATTCTGGATTCTAAGGGCCCTCCTGGCTCAAACACTCTATGCCTGCGAGTCTGCTGCAGCAGATGGTAACATCTGTCCAGGGTCCTGAAGCCTCCTACAGTGGGAGGGCTGGGGGTCCCTGGGTCTTTTGCCCCAGGGGCCTGGTAAGCCCTGGCCCAGTTCCCTGTGTTGGCTCTTGACGATCCTCAGCCTTGCCAGTCCAGGCTGTTTGGATTGCTGGATCTAGGCAGGGTAGAAAGCTGTCCCCTGTGGCCAGGGCTGGGAAGCAGTTGCTGACCCTGGCCTTGGAGAGGAAGTGAGAACGGGAGAGGAGTGAACTGTCTGTGAAGAGACTGAGAGGAGGAAGCCTGGCACTCTCCACTTTGGGAGGGGCAGGAAATGTTGTTAACCCCAGCCTGGGGTCCATCCCAAACCGCCGGTTCCCATGGTAACAGACTGATACCTCTGTGTCTCTGAGTTCTCCCCTCCCTGGGGTGGTAAATACAGATCTGCAGGCTGGAGCCAGGAGTCTACCCAAGGCCTCTGAGAGCCGCTTTCTCTTCTCATTCATCCTGAGACCCTGGGAAAGGGCCTCCCCATCTCTGAGTCCCAGTTTCCCCATTTTCAGAGAGTGCTAAAGATTCCTGCCTTCAAGAGTTTGAAGAGCTATCCTATAGAAGAGGTCAGTCAGTCAGTCAGCAAGCATTTATGAAGCACCTATTGTGTGCTAAACACTTGAGAAAGAAAGAAGAACAGAGGAAAAATTGGCGTTAGACTTGTCCTTTCAGTCCCAGAGGAGAGAATTTGGACAAGTGGATGGAAATTACCAAAGACACAAATCCCACATCCTTGTAAACACCAGCTTCCTAGCCTTAGGAGCTGTGCAGAAGTGGGCTGGGCTGCCTCTGGAGGGAGGGAGCTCTCTGTCACGGCTTCCACCGGAGGACCACTTCTCAAACACGAGATTCCCGTTCAGGTCCACGTGGCCTCCAAGGCCCCTTGTCCCTCTGAGATCCTGTGAGGCGGGGATGGGGATCCATATTAAAGATGAAATCCTGCAGCCCAAGACTAAGTTCTGGGGGCAGCTGGAGGGCTTTGGGCCTCCACCCCATGGTGCCCCTCCCTCCCGCAGCAGTTCCAAGAACCCCGGCTCTTCTGGCTGTAACACATCCTCCTGGCCCGGGGACAAGGGAGCTAGGCGTTGTCTCTGGGCGTCAGAGCTGCTGATGTCCCCAGCACTTCCAAGAAGGGAGCTACGTGTCAGGACTGCCTCTGCAGGGCTTGGGGGCTTGCTCGGACGATGCCCCGAGGCAGGATTTCCTGGAGCTGATAGAGTTGCACATGACTGACCTGTTGCCCCAGACTTTTCGGGTCCTCGTTTCATGTTTCAGGGGTGCCAGGGCCAAGGCCGCCGTCCCTGCTGGTGTTCATCATCCACAGGATGAGTCCTGTTGTGTGTGACCTCAGAGGAGGCAGCAAGTCCTAGCTTGGCTCACTGTAAGGAAAAATCTCCCTACTGCTCACAGCTCTCTCAGCCCTCTCCGGGCCATCCTCCCCACAGCTGGTGAACTGACGTTCCTCAAGGTCAGGTGTGGCGAGGTCACTCCCCTTGTCCTTACCCCATTCCCTCCCCACAGCTGATCAGGAAACTGAACTGGCTTACTGTCATCTCCCTGGTCAGATTCAGAGTCCTCCTGCGTTGAAATTCTTACGTCACCTCTGCCTGTAAGCTATCTTGCCAGCACCAGCTCTGTGCTCCGGCCAATACCTGTTTGATCTGGCTGGTACTCATGTCAGGTCCTATCCCCCATGCCTGGATTTCACGTCTGAGATGTTCTCCATCCTTGCCTCCACCTTGCAGCTCACATATCTTTCCTCCTTTTGAGAGGCCTTTCCTGACGCCCATGGCTGTCCGCATTCTCCTCCCCCTTCCTGCACAGTTATCTTATGTCCACTTTGCGTTGTAGTTGTGGTTTTGTCCTTCATTCTCGAAGAGGACCATGATGTCAGGGAGATGATGACATGACTTGCGATTGACTTTGATTTGCATAAGGAAGGGCTGACTTTGTGTACACATAATACACACATGCACACACATATCCTTACAGTCACAAGTCGTATTTATTTCTATGTCTATATGATATTACATCTTCTCTGCAACCCCCACCTGTGGTAGAATGGAAGCTTCCAGAGGGCAGGGACTGTCTTGATTTATCTTGGTATCACCAGCATTTAGCACAATACCTGGCAGATTATTGAGTAAGCACTCACTAATTGTGGAACTGATGGAAAGAGCCATCTTGGGAGGGGAGTGAACTCTGTCAGTGGAAGTCTTCAGGTCAAGGGCTGACCACTTGTTGGGAACGTTATAGAAAGGATTGTTCATTCCTTCTCCAGAGTTTATTTAGATGCCCTCCGCCATCTTTGGAGTGTCCTGCCTGATGTCATACTCCTGCTTCTCAATCACTTTTGCCGTATCTTCCTCTGTGAGTGTACCCCAAGGCTCTGGCCTGGGCCTCTTCTTTTTCCCCCGCTCCTGTTTCCCTTAGTGATCTCATTGGTTTATTTGTCTAGCCCCACCTTCACCTGACCTCCATTCTCACCTCTCCAACTGCTAACTGAACATTTTGAGCTAGATGTCTTGTAGACAGGTCCAGAATGGAACTCATCATCTTTTCCCCCCAGGCCCTCCTTTCTCCCAGCCTTCTCTGTCACTGTGGAAAGTACCATCGTCCTCTTGGTCGCCCCAGCTCACATCTCAGGTGTCATCCCTGTCAGTTCCATGTGGGCAGTCAGTTGCAGGGTCCTGTTGATGCTGCCATCGTGACACCTCCTGTATATGCCCCCTTCTCTTCTTTGACTCGGTGGCGCCCCACCTGGTTCAGAGCCTCCTCACCTCACACCTGGACTTGCTTGGGGGTCTCCCTGACTTGAGTCTCTCCCTGAACCAGTCCATCGTCCACTGAGCTGCCAAATTAATCTTTGCTAAAGCCCAGGTCTGACCGTGCCGTCCCCACCCTCCAATTCAGTCACCTCCAAGGTCACATAGAAAATTCTCTGTTTGGCTTTTAGACACCTCTGTAAGCTGGCTCCTTCCTACCTTCCCAGTCTTCTACCCCTGCACCCCCAGTGTCCTCTGCAGTTGGGTGACACTGGTGTTCTTGCCATTCCCAATCCTGGAACTCTCTCTCCTCATCTTCCTCTTATGGCTTTCCTGGATCCCTACAATCCTCCCTCCTGCAAGAAGCCTTTACTGAGCCTCCTTAATGCTAGTGCCTTCCTCCGAGGTTAGCCCCAATTTACCCTGTACATATTGTCATCTCCCCCATCAGACTGGTAGCTTCGTGAGAGCAGGGACTGTCTTTTCCTTTCTTCGTATCTGTCACTTAGCATGGTACCCATCATAGTAGGCACTTAATAAAGGTTGGTTAACTAACTGTTTGACTGCCTGAGTATCTCAGTCCAAACAAACCTTTGTGATACAGATGGGTAATGTGAGAGACCTCAGAAAGGAAGTGATTTGCTCAAGGACACACAACCAATCAGAATCAGAGCTGGGTCCGGAACTCGGGTCTCCCTTCTTTCAGGTCAAAGAGACTTCCTTGTTACAGAGCTGGGCTCAGTGGGCAGGGTCTTTTGTCTTCTGCCTCAGTGATGAATGGCAGAGGAGAAGTAGGAGAGCAGAGTAGAAAGCTAGGGACCCAGGGGAAAGGCAGGAGGAGATTCCAGGCTGTGTTGCTGCCTGCCTGGGTGGCTTTGGGCATAGTGTCTCTGGGCCTCAGTTTCTTCATCTGCAAGATAAAAGAGGGTGGCCCGGACGGCCTCCAAGTTCTCATTCAGCTGTGCCCAGGGTCCATGGGCCCCTCGAAGGGCCGCTGTGAGTCAGCAGAATCCAAGGGGAAAGAACAGGCCTCGTAGACCAGGACAGGAGGCATCATCCACCCACCAGTCAATGGGCACTTGTTTCTCTTTCCAGCTCGTTCGGAACGATACCGCCACTTGGGCTCAGAGGACGACGAGACAAATGATGAGGAGTCCTCTACTGAAATCCCCCAGTTTTCTTCCTGTTCTCACCGGTTCAGTAAGGTACAGGTTATGTTACCAAAGAGGGGGGTGTGTGTGTGTGATATTAGCCTCTCATCTTGTAAGTCTGCAAATTCAGCACTCAGAAGCATGATTAATTCCTCTTGGGGATTGGCCTAGGCAGTCAGTCAATCAATCAACACACTTTTATTAAGTGCCTAGTCATCTGGCTAAGCTGCCCCCAAGCAGTCTTTGGTTAGACAGCAGTTTATCTGAAAGAGATCTGGGGGTTTTGGTGAACTGCAAGCTCTATATAAATGTGATAGAGCAGATGTAAACATATCTAGTGGGATCGTGGGCTGCATTAAGGGGAGCAAGAGGGGGGCCCTGGCCAGACCACCTCTGGAGTAGTATGATCCATTGTGGGGGCCAGCGTCTGGAGGAGAAGGGAACCTTGGACTCCTGCCCTGGTCAGGGACCTATGGAAGGAACTGAGGAGGTTGAGGCTGAAAAGGAGCAGACTTGGGGGGGTGACTGATCACTTCAGTATCGTGGGGAAGTGGGGGTTCAGACTGTTCTGCTTTGCCCTGGCCGGGGGCAGACCCAGGAGCAAAGAGGCGAATGGAGGTAAGGAGCTCTGCCAGCAGAAACAGGCTGCCTGGGGAGGTGTAGCAGGCTGCTCCCCATCCCCACCCCAGCCCCTTCTGTGGCCCACAGTCTGAACAAGGCCCATCTTTGAGCTGAGCTGAGCTGAGCTCCCAGAGAGTTATCCTTTGACTCTTCCGCACCCCTAAGAGATGAACTGTTCTTACATTAATGGATCAGAACCAGGCTTTTTTTTTACCCAGTACTCTTTTATTTTGTTCATATAGTTAATGAGAGACATTGTAATAGAGCACACATTGGACCAGCCATGGAATCAAGGAGACGTGGGGGTCACGTCCTGCTCTTGCTCCGTGCTGGCTGTGTGACCCTAGACAATTCACTTACCCTCTCAGTGTCCTCAGGTACCTTTCAATTGCAGATGAGTGGCTGATCTGCCCCAGTGTCGGAGATCCCCTTCTCTTTCTTTATCCCCAGTGTGGGGCCGGGAGGGTCTTTCACTCCCTTCCTCTAAACAAAGAGAAGGAGCAGCCACCACCAGAATGGGAGTGGTTGAGATTCCTTCCAATGGGATCATCTTCCCTGGATGAAATTAGAAGTCTGAACCCAAAAAAACCTTCTTTGCAAAAAATAAAACTTTTTTATTAAAAAAAAAATTTTATCACTTTCATATTCAAATATTGATATATTCCAGCCCTTCCCACCCTCACTCCCTTAGCAATTGGAGGAGAAAAACAGTTCAGTAAAACTAACCAATACGTTGACCATGTCTGGTGAGTTTATACAGTATTCCATACCCATAGTCCCCCATCTGTGAAGAAGGGAGGGAGATAGGTTTTTTTTTGTTTTTTTTTTGGTGAGGCAATGGGGTTAAGTGACTTACCTAGGGTCACACAGCTAGTAAGTGTGCAGTGTCTGAGGTCGGATTTGAAGTCAGTTCCTCCTGACTCCAAGGCTGGAGCTCTGTCCGCTGCACCACCTAGCTGCCCCTGAGATGCATTCTCTCAACTCTTCTCTGGGGCTAATCTTGATCAGGATAAATTACACCGTGTTTAGTTTCATTTACAAAAGCGAGGCTCTCGTTCAACCCCAAAGTCCTCCTTTGCTGCCTTGTTAGAACATGGAGGGTGATTTGGCTTCTCAGAGTTGTTGGGTGAGTTCTGGCAGGTTCTGTGTGCTCTAGAAAATGGATAAAGTTTTAGGTCACGGCAGCTTTCTCAAAGTAAGTAGACTTAGTAAGTCATAGAGTGGTTGAGCAGCCCTCATCCACATTGACCAAATCACAAATCCTTGGATCATTGAAAATGGGAAATTCTTTTTTTTTTTTTGTGGTAAAGAATATTTTAAAATTTATTTATTTTTAGTTTTCAACATTCACTTCCATAACATTTTGAATTTTAAATTTTCTCCCTCTCCCATTTCTCTCCCCCACCTCCCCACCCCCAATGACTTACAATTCTATATAGGCTCTACATATACATTCATGTTAAGCATATTTTCGAAAATAGGAAATTCTTTTTTTTCTCTTTTTTTTAAAAATTAATTTATTTTGAATTATCAACAATCACTTCCATAAGCTTTTGAGTTTTAAGTTTTTCTCCCCCTCCCTCCCCACGATGGTGCACAATCTAATATAGACTATACATATACATTCCTATTAAACATATTTTCACATTAGTGATGTTGTAAGGAAGAATTGGAACCTATAGGAGGAACCACCAGAAAAAGGAAACAAAACACAACAGAAGAAAAAAAAAAGCAAATAGTATGCTTCAGTCTGCTTTCAAACTCCATAGTTCTTTCTCTGGGTGTGGATAGCATTTTCCATCACGAGGCCTTTGAAGATGTCTTAGATCCTTGCATTGCTGAGAAGGGTTAAGTCTATCAATATTAGTCATCGCACAACATGGCTGTTACTATGTACAATGTTCTCCTGGTTCTGCTCACTTCACTCAGCATCAGACCATACAAGTCTTTCCAGGTTTTTCTGAAATCTGCCTGTTCATCATTTCTTATAGCACAGTAGTATTCCATTACATTCATATACCACAACTTGTTCAGCCGTTCCCCAATTGATGGGCATCCTCTCTATTTCCAAGGCTTGGCCACCACAAAAAGAGCTGCTATAAATATTTTTGTACATGTGGGTCCTTTTCCCATTTGTATGATCTCTCTGGGATATAGCCCTAGAAGTGCTATTGCTGGGTCAAAGCGTATGCACAGAAAATGGGAAATTCTTATGAAAGTATTTTAGCCTAACATTGAGTGTTCCTAATCATCAGAGTTGGAAAATAAACAAGCAGGGGCAGGTAGGTAGCACAGGGGATAGAGCACCAGCCCTGGAGTCAGGAGGACCTGAGTTCAAATCTGGCCTCAGACAGATGATACTCACTAGCTGTGTGACCCTGGGCAAGTCATTTAACCCCAATTGCCTTGCAAAAAAAAATAAAAAACAAAAAAAAAACAAGTAGAGTGAAATTGAAAGAAATAAAACATCTTGGATGAACCTTGGTTTCTTTCTTAACTAATTCTAAACTTATATTGTTAAGTCTAACTGTAAACTTTTTAATTTTGAGCCAAAAGTCCTTCCCAAATATGTGTCCTTGTTGAGGCATTTGGCCTCAAAACCTCACCTTTCCTATCTGGCTTCTCATTTGTCATGGCCACAATTGATCTGTTTAACCAGGTTGTCCTGGGTTCTCATCAGAGGGGTGGTCACTCCATTCCTGTCCTCTCCTCCCTCTATCCATATGTGGAGGTAGAAAGGAAACAGGTCACTTAGAAAGTATACTCCCTTTCCAGCAGTGTAAATAAACTGAATTGTCTTTTGTGGGTTCTAAGGGCCCCCCCCAGCTCTGACATTCTGTGTTCTAAGGGCCCTCCCAGCTCTGACATCCTGTGTTCTAAGGGCCCCACCATCTCTGACATCCTTTGTCCTAAGGACCCTCCCAGCCCTGACATCCTGTGTTCTAAGGGCCCTCCCAGCTCTGACATTCTCTGTTCTAAGGGCCCCCCCAGCTCTGACATTCTCTGTTCTAAGGGCCCCCCCATCTCTGATGTCCTTTGTCCTAAGGACCCTCCCAGCTCTGACATTGTGGGTTCTAAGGGCCCCCCCCAGCTCTCACATCCTTTGTCCTAAGGGCCCTCCCAGCTCTGACATCCTGTGTCCTAAGGACCCTCCCAGCTCTGACATCCTGTGTTCTAAGGGCCCTCCCAGCTCTGACATCCAATGTTCTAAAGGCCCCCCCCAGCTCTGCCATCCTGTGTTCTAAGGGCCCTCCCAGCTCTGACATCCAATGTTCTAAGGGCCCTCCCAGCTCTGACATCCTGTGTTCTAAGGGCCCTCCCAGCTCTGACATCCAGTGTTCTAAGGGCCCCCCCCCAGCTCTGACATCCTGTGTTCTAAGGGCCCCCCCAGCTCTGACATTCTGTGTTCTAAGGGCCCCCCCCAGCTCTGACATCCTGTGTTCTAAGGGCCCTCCCAATTTTGACCTCCTGTGTTCTAAGGGCCCTCCCAGCCCTGACATCCTGTGTTCTAAGGGCCCCCCCAGCTCTGACATTCTGTGTTCTAAGGG